ACTTCTAACTCCGTTAAATGTCATAAATTCCGTTTTCATGGATGCCTGGATGTTAAACTCAATTGTTACACCTGGTAGAGCAGAACGCTGATCATTTTATTGAAGATGAAAGACTTTAGACAGTTTTTCAACTCTCAGTAATGCCACAGTGATCGTTTGATATATGGACCTGCATCGGAGTTTAGGTCCAGACTCGGCTAGTGACGTCAGACTTAACGACCGGATACCAGTAAACCATGACTTGTTTCTCTTCTTCTTCTTCTAATCAGGTCATCATTTTGTTTTCTGTTCCTCCTCTTCTGTTTCCTTCCCAGTCTCTGAGGGTACCGACCTGTTCACAGTGCTGGTTCATGAGTTTGGCCACGCACTGGGCCTTCCTCATTCCTCATCCCGTCACTCAGTCATGAGGCCATACTACCTGGGTCCTGTCGGAGACCCTCTCCACTACCGCCTGGGACCCCAAGACCTGGAGCACATCACTCAGCTCTATGGTGAAGCTTCTCACACCATGATTTAATCATTAATATTGATTATAGTTGATGTGTGAGGATGTGTAAACTAGACTGAATGTAAAATTTCAGTATTAGCACACATAGGATAATATAAAGTTTGATGTAAAAGGATAAACACTGAAGTGCAGTTTAAAGGATGGATGAGGACAGCTGTGAAATAGCTCCCTGGTCTGACCTCTGGTGTGTTTATTGAGGAAGGACAGAATTAGTTTCTTCACAGCTTTAGCCTCCACATTCAGCGAAGACTCTCATGAAAGCCTCATACTGTAAAATATAAAAACGAGGAAATGTCTGACTGCGCTGTTGCTCAGAAACCATTCTTAACTTTTTTCAGTTCATTTTGCTTTTGCATAATGTCATGAATGCTTGACAGGCAAACCGCTGTGTCTGTGGATATTCAAGCTTCTGCCCACATGTTCCAAAAAATACATCCTTCCACTCAGTGTCATTCCAGGTTCATTAACTATATTTGCATCTCGGGTTTAACAATTTGTCATTGTGAAAATTTACTAACCACGATCCATTTTTTAATGTTTGGTACTTAAACTAATGAACATGTAAAATATATTATTCATTGGCACAACATTTTATACTAAGGTCTGTGGCTCCTAGAAGTTAAACTTGAATATCTTTGCCACAGATATGATATGGAATTGTATCTGTGGTTTTAAGTGAAATGCAAAACTATCGTCTGACAAGTAGTTTATAATTGAATAATTTCACAATATGAAGCACGCTGGAGAGGAAACAAGCCTTTCTGTAAAATACTTGGTTACCAAATACTGTGGCAATAGTTTGGGACATTGAACTGTGTTGTACTAACCTTCTAAAATGAAGCTAAATGAGTAATCATCACAGTAGGCTGGGCTTAACCAAGCATGTGTGACACACTGGAAGTGACAGTAGCTCTGGCTGTGTCCCACCAACCTGCAGTTGTCAAGGGCGAGAATGCGGTGGACTCAAGAGCAGACTCAATTTGCTTAGAACTGTGTATAATTTATTGAAAAGAACAAAACGTGAACGGAACTGGGTTTAACAGAAACCATAC